TCTGTTTCTTAAAAGTCATGAAGAAAACGACATGCAATAAATTTCATCTTTTTATGTAAGGATGAGTAGAAAATCCAATCTCATTAGTTAGCATCATACAAATAAAAAATCCATGTGGTCCTTCCCAATCTTATAAATTCTTATGATATAAATCTTTAAAATCCAAACATAAAAAATCCTGAATATAAAAAATCTTTAAAAAAGTCCTTCCAAGTCATTATGTTCCTAAATAGTCTTTTAAAATCCACTGGACTTATTTATCCATAAATAGTCTTTTAAAATCTCAATTGAATACACCCCCCTTATTGTTACATTTTCCTCACAACCAAACATAATATGAGTCTACTCCTATCTTCTTGTATTTAATGTTTCAAACAAAATATAGGTCTGATGGGTCTGCAGAGAAGGAAAAAAGATTAGCAATAATAAAGCCAGACGGATTGTATGATAACTGCACTGATAAAAGGGCTCGTTTGGTCTGACAATATTGCCCCTCCACGTGAGGGGCACATGGTTGCTCTGTTAAAGAAATTAATAGAAATTTTATATTGTGTTTGAATTGTTCCAAATATAAACTACAGGGTCAAAAGTGATTGAAGCGCCAAACTACAGGGATCAAAAGTGACTTTTGGCCTTACTAATTTATCCTAAATTTACTAGAGGGTCAAAAGTGATTGAAGCGCCAAACTACAGGGATCAAAAGTGACTTTTGGCCTTACTAATTTATCCTAAATTTATGAAAATTTTTAATTATTTCATCCATTTATATTAAAACACGTAAATTAATAACAACTATGTGTAAGTGAAGGTTCTCCAAAGTCACGGCCGTAGTGGGGTCATATATGTGATTGCCAAAAACTTGTGGCCAAACTCAAAAGTGCCGTACACTTACATGAATTATCATGAATATCATCAGAATCTGGATCTTTTGGGGAAATGGTACATTAGGCGTGAACCACAGGGCTGGTTGAGGTTAGGTGCATGCGTGGTCCTGTCTCCATTTTCTTGACCTAGCTATTTCCAAGCAAATTTCTTCTTACGTTCTTTTCTTTCGAAAAAATGTCGACACTATGTGTTCATTCATTTCCTCATCTCTGCAAACACTCATGTAGTTTTCTGGTTTAAAATTCAACCAGATTCCCTTAAATTTGTGCATTGATTTAACATGTAGTCTCTTTCTGAAAGAAACCTATGCACCTAGATTTCATTTGACCTGATCTTCAGCAATAATGTGGGAGCGATTTTCGTCCCATAAAAATATTCTTATGAAGATTTCGTCTTCCTCTTCACTTCTCTTTCTCCATGCAAAACAATACGGAGTAAAAGACCACACCCAATTGACTAAAGGCCCTTCGATGCCTAAGTTAGATCGAGTGTTTGTAGGAAAACAATAATTAACAATAAGATGGAGATTATTCTTCCCTGATTTGGAGAGATTGAGGTAATTAGGGATTTGATTTAAATAAATCAAATCCCTAATTAAGGCAAGAATCAAATAATTCTCAATTAAATTAAATAACTCCCAATTAGTTCAAATAACTCCCAAATTAATTAGCTTCCAGATCCTCTACTCTGATTTTCTCTGCTATGATCTGTTTTACTTTTGTTCTCCGTATGCCACCTCATTAAAATTTAATCTAAGAGATATAAATTGGACACATCGACTGTAAAATAAAAATCTAATTTACTCCTAATTAAAAATGATTAAAAAACCCTAACTTGACTAATACCTAAACTTAACTATCTCTGGAAGTTTTTTTTTTCCTTCTTCCTCGTCTGCACGTCTGCATCGCTCATCAGTCTTTTCTTTATCCAATCTTAGAACACAAAAAACATTCTTACCAAGAAGAGTATGAACATAACAAGAATCCTATGACACATCAAATAATAAACTAGCTCCAAGGGCATCGGAAATTAAATCATTAAGTTTACCCAAATAATAGAAAACCTAGAGTGAGAAAGAACATAAGTCATGTAAAGAAAATATAGA